GGCAAGCATATATATATATATCACACCTTGCATAAAAGTCAAAGGCTCTTATTTTAAAACTCCCCCATTCTTCATACACGTTCCTTAAGAGGTGCCATGAAGGTTCCTTCGCCAACTAAGTGATGCATCTTACTAGGAAATGAAGTAGAGGCATGATGTTATGGACTTCGATACCATGTCTTAGAATGACGAGTATTAGAGAGTGTAAACTTGTATATTGCGCTTGTTAACTATTGAAGAAGTGTGAACTTCTATCAACGAGGCTTCATTTCTCATAGAAGTTGCGAAATTATTGTGTTGAAAATTAACAGTAATAGAGTGATCATTTAATGTTTAACATTACTTGAAGAACCAACACACACATATAATAAAAATGTATTAGGACTAGACACCAAGCTTTTTTAAGTGAAAAAATTCTGGAAAGAAAAAAGATAATAGGCTAGCCTAATCATAGTAATCTACTATATAATTATAAATACATGGTTCCAATCTTTTCATAAATTAGAAAAGATAGAATTACAATGTTAATAATTATATAGTCATAATTAGGCTACAACGAACATGGTTGTTCATGAAGGTTGTAGTCAATGGTTTCAATAGTAGCAGTTGGCCACAGAGGTTGTAGGTGGTGCATGTAGTAGCAACAATTGGCCACAAAAGTCGTACATGGAAACTCTAATAGTTTTAGTCGGCCATAAAGATCATAGTCAATGATTATAGTATTGTTAGTGGAGCACAGAGACCATAAACGGTGGTTGTAATAGCCTTAGTTGGCCATAAAGACCATAATAGGAAGTCGTAATAGTGTTGGTTGGCTACATAATGTATATTTGGACTACAATAGTGTCGGTTGGTCACATAAGTCGTGGTTGGTAGCTACAAAAGCTTCAGTCTATCACAGAGGCCATAGAGAAGAGTTGTAGTAGTAACTGGTCACATATGTTTTTGTGTGTAGATACATGAGCATCAGTCAGCCACATAAGACATAATAAAAAGCTTTGTAGTATTTGGCTACATATGTCGTTGTTGTTAGTTGCAAGAGCATCAGTCAACCATAGGGGTCATACTAGAAAGCTATCACAGACTAAATAGGTTTTAGTTGGTGATTATAATAGTAGTTAGCTACATAGGTCATTTTTAGTCACATATGTCATAGTTGGTAGTAATAGTAGCATCAGTTGGCCACAGAGGCCGTAGTTGCAAGTTGTAGTAGTAGTTTGTCATATAAGCTATAGCTGGTCAAGTTGGTAGTTGTAGCAGCATCAATTGACCACAAAGCACGTAGTCAAAATTTGGAAAAACAATTAGTCACATATGTTGTAGTTGGTCACATAGGTCATTATTGGTAGTTGTAGTAACATCAATTGGCCACGGAGGACATAGTTGGAATTTGTAGTAGCAAGTAGTCATATAGGTCAAAGTTGGTAGCTGCAGTAATAGTTGACTACATAGGTCAGAGTTAATCATAGTTGATATTTGTAGTAGCAGTTAGCTACATATGTCATAGTCACATAAGCATAGTCAGTAGTTGTACCAACAGTTAGCTACATTGGTTGTAGCTAGTCACATGGGTCGTAGTTAGTACTATACCAAATGGTGATTGCAACCCTTTTCCTGGGTTTACTATTTTGCACCAAAGACATCACTTGTCGATGTTGACGTAAGAAGTAAATTTCAGAATTCTAGAGAAGGTCTTTCTATTATGAATATAATGTTCACAAGTATCATGTTTAGGATACATTTTTACATAGTATTCATAATAAATTATTACCACGTACTCAAGATACTTTATTGCTACATATTTTGGATATGTGTTGCATCGTATTCGAGATGCGATGTTGCCCTGTATTGGAGATACTTTGTTACACAATATTTGAGATGTTTCATAAGCAAACAAAGTTCATCAACTACAATGAGTAAGGGCGACCAACAGTGGTCGACAGTAGTTGGTGGCTATGAAGGCCATAAGTTATCACTTGGTTATCAGTCCAAAATAGTACCGAGAATTGACTCGCTTTCCTTCCATTTCAATTGAAGAGATGGGGTCTATTATAAACTCCAAAGGAGGAGCATTTTGTTCTTTTGAAAAATAACTTCCTCAATGATGTGATTGGATGTCTCATATTAATCGTCCTTGATTATATGGGATTTTTAATGATCTGAATGCCTCAATGACTTCAAAATTAATGATCTGAGTTCATAGGTTCATTGGATTTCTCATATTGAGTCGCTCGATTTGACTATAGGTATGCCAACTGTGAATTGACTACCATTCTATTAAAGATCCGAAGCCTCCGAAAATGTTTTATTGACTTGATTTGGACTCTATTAACTCAATTTAACTAATTTTGTATCATTTAGTTCGTCTTATCACGAGGGTCAGTTTGACTATAAAATTCTCTCATGATAATATTTAATTTGAACCAAAATATTTTTTATTTAAAAAATATCTCACAATTCATGATGAAGAATAATAAAATTTCCTTATGACAAATTAATTACAAAGGTAAAAAGATGTAAAATTGTCTTCTCACAAAAGTTTGAGCATGATTCGCCACTTTTTTTCAGTGGATGAAACCCTGTTGGGAAAGCTCTGCGATGAATTGAAGATTAGAAGGACAAACGCATACTTTCTGAATCCTTTTAACGAAAAGCAAATCATAGAAAAAAAAAAGGCAGAATATTGCTGAATCCGCTATGTACGTGTCAGCAGGAGACGTCGGCAGCCACTGCGGCAAGCAACGTGTAAGCTCATGCAGTTAATCCCATTAAAATACTTCTCCCACTACAACTAACACTATAAGCAACGAAAAATGTCTTCTTTATCATCTTTTTCTCCTTTCTGCAAATGGATTCTGAGGAAGAGACGAAGAAGAAGGTGGATCACCTCCACGCCGCCGTTCACCAGCTATTGGAACACAGAAGGCTCAACAGCAACAGGAATCGAGAAGAAAGCCGCCTCCTTTCCAGATTACTCTGCCAGGTATCCTTCTCCATCATTCTATTCTAATCAATCAATCCATCCACCCATCCATGTCTCGATCAATCGAAGTTTCTGCAGCTGGAATCGTTGGAGGAAGATACGCAGCCCACCTGTTTGACGAAATGTCCCTGCGGAGCAAAGTGCTGCGGAGCCAACCAGGAAGCTGGTAATGAGGAAATCGCCAGGGAGCTGAAGAGCATCAAGAAGCAGAATTTGATTAGCCATTGTCTTCTCGCCGTGATGATCGTTGTCATGGCGGCATGGCAGATTTCCGAGGTCTCCTTGCTGCTGTCAGTGAAGGAGAAGCTCTCCAATCCTTTGAAGATTGTGGGGAATCTGCTCAGGAATTCCATTAAGTGGCGAGAGAAAAAGACTGAGATTGAAGGAACTGCTTTACCGATTATTGAATTGCCGCAGATTCCAGATATTGATCTTGCGTTTCTGCCATTCAGTAATAGTAATAATAGTAATGGCAATACTAAAAACAATGATGAGGTTTGAAGATCGCATGAAGAAGTTGCTTTGTGTGTTAAAAATGGCTGTTTTGAAATGGAGGAATGAATAGAAGTTCTTAATATGCCTTTCTTGTGTTTTTGTTTTTGTTTTGTGAGTTTTATTTTAGATAAATTTAATAATTTTGATATATTTCATGACCAAAAATTGCATTCTTACAATAATAATCTAACTTATTCTGCTTTGTTTTTGCAAGAAATGCACTCATTTTAAAGAATCTAAATGATTTTGAAATCATTAATGACAAAAAATTTTATTGCACTCGTCTCAAAAAAATTATGTAGCGCCAATGTCTTGGTACTTTTTCTGTTTTTTGCAAGCTGTTATGTGTTGAAAAACGTACGCAGAGCAGGGAAGATATTTGGAGGTTATAACCGGGTTATAGCCCCTGTAACCTCCCTGTAACTTACTTGTACCTTCTAGTAAGTTCCGCGATTCTGTTTTCATATATAGGTAGGTTACATATAGGTTACAGACGTACGCAACTCTGCGTACGTCTTATGTACGCAAATTTTTTCCGTATGTGCAACAAAAACTTGGCCTTAATGTGATCTATTTAATGCTCTCAAACCCATAATATTTAATGCAGTTCTTGGCCATCATTCCTATCAAATCTTTTTCACATCCACCCAATTTCATACAGTTGTGTTGTGGTCTTCATGTTACAACATCATCTAGACCTTCCAACACCCCTCATCTTCCTACAATGCTTCACAATTGATCCCTAACTTCGTCTACTCCTCCAATCTTCGCATCCTCATTCCGAATCTTCGCACCATTGTTCATGACTACATCACCATCTTCTGCTCCACCCTCTCCTCTCTGTGCTCTTAAATGTTGCGAGAGAATTCTAAAAAGGGTAGGTAAATTATAAGATGGGTAGCAAGAGTAGAAAGAATGTTGTCGCTTGAAATCCGGCATGAATGGCGGCTGAACAACAAGCCGACAATGGAAAAACTACATATTTCTGCTGTTAAGCAGTAATTGGCAACAACTTTAACGATGAAGAAGGCTTCGAATGTTCAAAAGAGATCAATAACTTGATTCCATCAGGTTACAAGCAAATCGCCTGAGAAAAATCCAATGATATAATATTCCATTAGAGAAAATATAGAGAAAATGTCTTCCAATAACATAATGAGCGAAAGTCTCCAAAAACAAAAAGCAAAGCATAAAAAAAATAGTCTCCCTTACAAAAATAAATCTAATTTTAATTAAAGTAATATTAAGATAACAATAAACAGGTCTTTCAAGGCTAAAATAGCCAATTGGTGAAAAATCATGCTTAGATAGGATGCAAGATTTGGGAGCTCCCGAGTCACTCCCTCCCCCTTAAAATCCTCTATGCTGACTTCATGATCAATGCTTTCTACTTTCTAATCCATCTCGACCCTAAAGATTTGCATATTGAAGATGAGAATTTGAACTCCACACCATGATTTGTACTTGATTGACCTTGAATTGAGCTGTAATCTTAATCTGGAAAATTTAGTACATTTCAAAGGTGAATCATTGTCTTACACATGGTAGATTGATGTGAATAAATTCTGAAATGTCGCATGGTGTATTTTGTATATATTGTTTTGTGTTATTTTTATACTTTTCGTGGATATATTTGGTTTTGTATGTGCAGTATACAGAAAAAATAGGAGCTTTTAGAGAAATTCACATAGAAAGAGCTAAGGCAGTGGTGAGCTCCCCTACACTTTGAGAGGCCACCCCACCGCCAACTTCAATATCTATTTTACACTAAATAAAGAGTGAACAACATCTCAGCGCCAAGGCCTAGGTGTCGTTGTGCCTCTACATAATACTACAACACCTCTAGTTAATGTTGCATCACCATCGAACACCAACGCTATTATGCTAGAAGTCATAAATTGACGATTTGGGGCGACAAAACCCAATGCCTTACCTAGCTTCGTTGCCCCTACACCAATCACACCAACACCACTTTCTCAGTGTCGTCATGTGACTCACCAACTTAAGGTGGTTTTGGTGGGTTTTTGACGATTCAGTCATGCCAAACAATAAAAATAATGAAAATTCATCATAAAAAGAGGATTTGGATGGGAAGATACTTAGAGCTGAGAAAAGAAAAATTAGGGAGTGTGTGTGTGTTAGTGCTTAAAGTGTGTAAGGAGTGTGATGTTTCTATTATAAATAAGAAAAGGTGAATATAAGTGAAGTGACATTGAATAAGAAAGAAATGTGGTGGATAAAAACAAGATTCATATCTTATTTGATTTTTCTTTATTTGTACACTTTCATTTTGGATTTAAATGAAATTTGTTTGATTTTCTTTCCACGTGTTTAGGAGCTTATTTGTTCATGTTTTTTTGATTTGATGGTTTGATAAATCAAATTCAATCAATGAGATTTCTTTAAGACTATTTTGATGTTTTAAATGTGTGTTGATGTGTTACCTTTCTAAATTTAATTTACTTTTAATTTAGTCATTTAAAAAGTTAAAAATCCTTAAGATCTAAGACTATTGAACATAGGTTAGAAGAACAAGTAACACTCAATCACTTGGTGAAATAGAAATATTGTCACTAAGAGGTTGCAATCATGCAGGGGAATGAGAAATCCTGAGAGACATTGCAAGGTTAAATGAAACTTAACTAATATGAGACACCAACGCTTCTTATATCTAAGATTGGTATAAGGAGTAATTATTCTTGATTTTCAACATTAAGTTTGGGATATTCATTATAAGAATTTAGAGTATTCACATGATCCAATTTAAAGAACTATGATGACATGTACAATATTTAATGCTTATTTTTAGTGATATTGCACTTTAAAAGAAAATATTTTTGTGTTTTTTATTACATGTACAATATGTTAAGCAATTGGAGTAAATGGAATGAAAATGGAGCAATTTTGAGTCAATTGGAGCAAAGAAAAAAATTTTGACCGGACGCCTAAACGTCAGACAGCTTTTTCATGCTTCAAAAGGTTGGCGCCAAGATTCCACGGTTGGGTGCCTAAGTGCCAGAAACCAACTTGACGTTTTTAAGCCTTTTGGATGGATTTTCATTGGGGGCTTTGTGTCTCTTCGTTTGTGAAGTGTCTTTTGGAGTTCTTAGTGACTCTTGAAACTTAGGAAGAAGAAAGAAAGAGAGGAATTGAGAGATTTCTTAATTTCTTGTATTTATCTTTTAGAGATTGGAGAGGAGTATAAGGGATTACAATTTACTATGCAAGGAGGGCGTGAATCTTTTGAAAGATAAGTCTTAAACTCTTTTTGTATTTGATTTGAATTATTGTTATATAGTTGTATGTTTTCAATGTCATTTGCTATGAAAAATCCATTTGTTTTCTCCATGCTTAGTGAGTAGTTTTCCTTACTCTTTCCTCTTGTTATGAAGTAGTGGTATGCGTAAGAAGATTTGCTTTATGATAGAATGATTTTTATTTTCATGTGATGAGTAATATTCCCGTTGCTTCATTAACATAACATACTGGCCATATGTTATGTTAAAATCTTTTATAAGTTGAGACTAAGACTGAAGAGCGAACACTTCACAACTTGAGTGTACTCACATTATCCTGTTGGCTATGATGAAGTAGTCAAGCGGTGATGTAACTTTTGAAGGAAATAAACTTCATGATCGGTTTCTATTATGAGCTTCTAGGTGAGAATTGAAGTTATTGGGTTCCTTACCATGACTTGTAAGGGTTTTTAACCACCTTTGCATCTCTGCTAGTTGTGTAAACTTAATAAAATATTAAGGTTATCTATACACTCGAAAGAGGGTAAGTAAACACATATTTCTTATTGGCACAAAAATTATTACATAATTCTATTAATTCTTTGGTGAATAGTCGGGCACAGATCCCCCAGCTGTTGCAGGATGTAGCAATCACGAACTTAGATCGCCAGTCCTTGAATTGGTTCTCAGCTCCTACCACATGAGCTTAGGGCCAGACGAGAACACCACACAACCATCCTAGTCGACCATAAAAAATGAAAAAAAAAGAGAATAGCTCGATCGACCAAGAGCCTGCCGCAGGTAAACGATGAAGTTCATCATGATGGTAATAGAGTTCAAAGTGATTTGTGCAGGGATGATAGTGTAATTATTAAGAATAGATTTCGTCTCGCTGCAAAATGACAGCCGCAACCCATGCCTCAATTGGTCAATGTAAACGATCAAGGTATCAACATAATTTTTTGTTGTACTTTTCCCTTTCATAGTCACACAAAGTGTAACATCTGGGTTGAAGGAAAATGACTTTTATTGGGCCATCGCTTGCCTCCTCGAAATAATGGACGACACACCAAGAGATTTTACACCGAAAAGTTCAAACGAATATCTAGGGGTCATGATGCGACCAAAACAAAAGAAAGAAGAGTCTCACTAAGAAAAGCAAAGGAATCATACAAGGAGCTAAAATCTTTGATTGACTAACTTATAGCATATAGTTGAAGCTGAAATGCCAATAGGCGGTGCGGGCTTTTCATTGCATTGAAGTGCAAAAAAAATTTTAAATCAAAATCTGTATATCAAAAAACCAATGAAAAAAAATATCAACGTAAATATTAAAATATCAAACAATAAAATGATACATGCATGAGATAAAACATATTTACATTTATGCCATCCATTCATATTTGTTCACTCAAAAAAGAAAACAAATTTTAAAATTGTTAGCCGCTGCTTCAGCCGAAACATACCACAACTGGGACCACTACTTGAACAATAATGCTCCCCTTGTTCTAACCTTATATAGTCTATTCATATGAGAACACAATTGGAGAAGTGAAACCTTCTCTCTTACGACAGTTAATTCGGCCCAAAAAATGACAACTCCTCTTGCAAGGCAGTCTCAAGTACTCAGATATCCGCTAGCTTTTCCACCAATCACCTTATCTGAGCGTCACGGAGAAGGAGCCCTCTTGAGAAAGTGGAGTCAGAGCTGAGCTGGACTGGCTTGGGACGTTAGTTATTCTCACTAGACAAGTTGACTTGTCACAGGGTGGCCTTATAGAGCACATGATATTCCTGAGGATTATAGAACTCATAACGGCCCCAACACTTGAGAACTTTTGCTCAG